GCGCGCCCCATCCCCCCTCGATGGGGCCCGCCCACACCGGGGCCTCCCCCCTCCCGCCCACTGCTTTCTCAACGGCCCCGAGCCGGGGCTGCCCTCATTGCATACATAGTGCGCCTTTCCCTGCTTTTCTAGTGACCTAGCGTTCCGCACTGCCGTTTGGCCAGCCCATGCTCCCGTACCGTTGCGTTTCTCCCCAATGCGCCATGCCACTTTGCCAGTCATACACACGTTTCGATGCGTGCCCTGTCAGCTGCTTGCGTTGCATGTCGCCTTGCTCCACCCCTGTTTTATTGCTTTCTCTGCTTTCGCCCGGTTCCCGTCCCGTTTCGGCGGGGAGTCTATGTTGCAAGCTAGTTCTTGCTTTACCAGACTTTAAGCCCACACAAGCAAGCAAGCGACAGAAGAGGGAGCCCTCGTGGGAGCCGCTGTATGGCACTCGACCTTGGGGGCCTACAAGATCAACACTAACGGGGACGGTCCCGACAACACCATTACCAGGGCAGAGCTGGCCGCCATCTTCTGCACGGTGGCACAACGGCTACCACGTACTGACGAAGGCGTGATATTCACCGACAGCCAGGCTGCTATCCACCTTCTACATGTGTCGCGGCTAAGAAAAGCCTTCTTTGAAGGCGCTGGAGCTAGTGTCTAAACCCTCCGAGAGGGCACAGGTTCGATTCCTCCCATGTCGAAACTTTGTGAGGACAAACGCGGCATAGCTGACCGGCTCAGCGCCAATCCAAGCCAATTCCTTCGGGAACGCCTATTAGAATCGCCAAGGCTTCGGCACAGGCCTCCCCGGGACCCATTCACTACTAGTGGGGGGTACTGCACTTGCTTGTGTGGGCTTAAAGTCTGGTAAAGCAAGAACTAGCTTGCAACATAGACTCCCCGCCGAAACGGGACGGGAACCGGGCGAAAGCAGAGAAAGCAATAAAACAGGGGTGGAGCAAGGCGACATGCAACGCAAGCAGCTGACAGGGCACGCATCGAAACGTGTGTATGACTGGCAAAGTGGCATGGCGCATTGGGGAGAAACGCAACGGTACGGGAGCATGGGCTGGCCAAACGGCAGTGCGGAACGCTAGGTCACTAGAAAAGCAGGGAAAGGCGCACTATGTATGCAATGAGGGCAGCCCCGGCTCGGGGCCGTTGAGAAAGCAGTGGGCGGGAGGGGGGAGGCCCCGGTGTGGGCGGGCCCCATCGAGGGGGGATGGGGCGCGCAAGCGGCCAGATGGGGCGGGGCGCGGGCGGCAGTGGAGTCCTGCGGCTGGGTGGGATATAGGGCAATGAGCGTTGAGCA